AAGGGACTGGAGAGATGACTTGGTCCTTAAGAACACTGGCTGCTGTTCCGGAAGACCTGGATTTGATTAAGCACCCACACGGTGGCTAATTGCTGTCTATAACGCCAATTCCAGGAGAGTCTTTCTTTAAATAAAATTTGATCCTGACCTCCACTGGTAATACATACTTGTGTTGCACAGACATACATGCGGGCAAAATACCATACATATAAAATAAAATAAATATTTTTTAAGAAAAAGATCTTGAGCAAAAGACTAAAGCTGAAGATATCACAATGTGTGATTTAAAATAATATTAAATATCCAGAAATGCCACACAGTGTGTTACTAGTATGTAAATAGACATGCAGGAAAAAATATAACACAGCCATGTAAACAAATACACTTATCCTTAGATCACTAATCTTGAGAAAGATGCTAAAATATGCATTTAAAGAAGGCTTAATTAATGGTGCTGGAAAAACCAGTTATCCATTTAAAGGAAACTGAAATTTGACACCTACCTTCACCTGTCCAAAATCAGCTCAAAGTGGAAATAGATACCACATGTACAATGAGACACTAGAACCAAAGCCTTGGGCAAACACTTCAAGACACTGGCTTAGGCAAGGATTTTATGGCTTGTACTACCAAATGTTGAATACTAAAGCAAAAATGACAAATGACACTAACTTAAACCAAAAGTTCTGCTTATCAAAGGAAGCAATCAACAAAAAGATAACCTTCAGAAGGGGATAAAATATTTGACAAGTATGTTCTGATAAAATATTCATTCTGAGAATATATAAGAATATATAACAACAATTCAGCAGCAAAAGTCCAAAGTACTCTAAATGTTGAGTAAATAATCTGAATAGATATTTGTCAATAAGCATGTGAAAAAATTCCCAAAGGCATTAGTTATCAGGGAAATGCAAACGATGGTTGAAATGTGGTTATCATCTCATGGCTATTAAAATGGCTGCTTTCAAAATAAATTAAAGCTACAAAGGATGAGAAAACTAAACTTTCACATACTTTTGCGAGAATGTACATTCATACAAACATCAATAGCATAGAAGTCTTCAAAACACTGAAAATAGATCTGCCATATGAATCAATATCCTACATCTGGGTGCACATTCAGAGAAAATGAAGCCAGTACCTGAGTGTGTTTATGCTGGAGCTGTTCCCGAGGGCTAACATATGGCATCATTCCAGGTGCTCATCAACAGATAAATGACTAAAAAATGTGGATATATATGCATATTTATACATATATAAAATATAAATGTACATATGTGGGCCTATATATCCAGACCATTCAACAAAGTATTATTCTTTTATAAAGAATAATAAAACACTATTTTTTCAGCAAAATAAATAGAAGTGGAAACAAGTTAAAGGAAATAAGCCAGACAGAGAAAGAGTAACACAAGTTTTCTCTCAAAGGTGGAAGAAAGAACTTGAATGTAGAACAGTGGTTTCTGAAGGTTGTGAGGAATATTTGTTTGGATGGATGATATATTCTAGCTGAATAAATTTACTCTATTACTACACTGAACTTAATGTGCAATAATACACATTGATTAAATCTCAGATCACTGCAGGTTATATCTAGTTTACATGTTATATAGAACAGTAGGACTTACATGTGTGAAAGTAAAAGATACAGTACATGATAGTAATGTCCATTATAAAGCAACAGTAGTTGAGGTAGGTGTGGTGTTGGCAATAGAAAGAGAAGTATTTAGCAGGATGAAAAGGATAGGCATGAATCCATCCACACATAATCACACACTCTAAAAGGGTATCACATTTGGGGGTGAGAAGCACAGTCTTTCCAGTATCAGATGCTAAAATCATTAGGTATATATTGGGAAATGATTATATATCTATATAGTGAAATAAAGGTTTTTTTACTCTTTTTGTAGAGCTGTACATATTTCTATACTCCCCTCCCTTCTTCCACTCTTTCCTTCTATCCTCGTCTGTGACCTCCATGCTCCCAATTTACTCAGAAGATATTCTCTTTTTCGTCTTCCTTTATAAATCCATAAAAGTCTTTCTTAGTGTCCTCTTTGTTATCTAGCTTCTCTGGGGTTATGGCCTGTAGGCTGTTTTTGTTTGTTTGTTTGTTTGCTTTATGTCTAAAAGCCACTTATGAGTGAATCCATATTATATTTATTTTTCTGGGTCTGGGTTACCTCAATCAATATGGATTTTTTCTAGATCCATCCATAGGACATTAAGTTTTAATCTTTTACAAAAACTAATCCATCATAATCAAAGATCAAAATATAAAAGCCCAAACAGTGAAGGTTCTGGAAGAGAGACAGAAGTGTCTCCCAGAGGGTAGCATGGGTCATGTCCTTTTATCAGAAAAGGTGCAAACACTAATTACAAAGTAAACGTTTGATAGATCTATCATCACAAAATCAAGATCCGTTTCTCATTTCAGGATTAACAAGGTTGCCAGGGTGGTGGTAAAGGAAAACAGAGAAAGCAAGCCTCAGACAGAGAATACATCAAACAAAGGCTTGACAGTATACCACAAAAGAGAAAAAATTAATACAAGCCATAAAGAGAAAGCCACATAGCCTGATTGCAAGAAGAATAGGAATTGAATAAATATATTTTAAAAAACTGCCTTCATCGCATCAATAAAACTAAGAAAAATTGTTCAACATCTTTACCAGTCAAGGGAATACAAATTAAAATCCAATGAAATCCAATCCACAACCAACAGAATAAAATTAAAAGACTGGCAACCAATGTCAGCCCCACATTATGACATAGGGAAACTGGACTTCATGGCCGTACTGCTGGGGAAAATTATTAGTAAAATTTTCTTTGAAAGCCATTCTGAATTATTTAGTTATGATGTATACTTTATAACTTTTCAATTCTTCACATAAGTATATCGATGAGACTATTAATTGCATATATCTACTAGAAGTTATACAAAAACCAATTGTGATGGCTTTTTAATATTTCCAAGAACAAACCAGTAAATGACAGAAGACTGTTATTTGAGAGCAGTGAAAAACTTGCACTAAAGGTGAAAATTTTGATCACTTTGGTTTTTTTTCTGCATTGCTGATTCTCACATAAGTAACACTTAGTGAATGAAAGAGGCATCAATGAAGAAGGACACTTAAAAGAAATCCCACACTAACCCAGAATTGAGAAATAGGTGGTTATTTATTTAGGGATAAGCTCTCAAATCAGAATCCTCTGTTGGAACGGAGATCAGAGAACGAAATCTGCAACTGGAACAGAGAGGCTGGAAAAGAGGGTGGATGCAGGCCCTGCATCAGCATATATAGTATAAGAGGCCACGCCTCAGTAGGCGGGTAACCACTAGATGCAAGACTTCCTACAGCACATCAGTAACCTTACTGTACAGAACATTTATGTGGATTTAAAATACCCAAAACTTAGCTGAGCAGATAAATGGCTGCAGAATATGGTGACTCTTTTTCAGTGCGGTAGCAATGCATCTGGTTTGCAAAAGGCATGAGGGGGCTTTTGGGAGTGCAGTGTATAAAGGCATGAGGAAGCCTTTGGGGGTGCAGTGTATAAGGCATGAGGGGACCTTTGGGGGTGCAGTGTATAAGGCATAAGGGGGCTTTTGGAGGTGCAGTGTATATTTTTTTCTGCTGTTTTGGGAAGGATATGTTAATGCAAAACTTCCTACAGCTGTGCATATAAGTTTTATACACACACACACACACACACACACACATGCACTCACATGCACTCACATGCACATGTACACACACACATACACCAAATTAAATGATAAAAAATGAACCTCATAGAAAAGGTTATTAAAACAAATGTCCAGTAAACAATGGAAATACTGAGAACATTTCCAATCAAGGAAATGCATATTTAAGCAACAGCAAAACATTTTATTACCCACAAGAGACTACCAAAACATTAAAAAGCAAGTGACAAACTATCTTTAGAAATGTAAATTATCCCAACATATTAAATTGTAATTTGGTAAGTTATTTTAAAACTAAACACACACACACACACACACACACACACACACACACACACACGCATGCACACACGCACGCACACACACACTTTACTGAAGCTAGCAGAGCTGAGAATATCACTCTATGTGTTTGCTTCCATATTTCTGTGTCCAAAATATCTGAGAGAAAAAGTTAAGGAAAGAAATATTAATTTTTAATTCATGATTTCAGAAGCTCAACCCACAGTGCACTGTCTTCATCTCTTGGGTTCAACCCATGATGTTTCAGCTTCATCGCTTTGACCTGGAAGCAAGGCTGAACATCACACCAGTATCAGTATGTACAGGAAGTACCCCTACCTCTCAATCTGGGGAACCGGTTGTAGAGAAAAGAGGAACACAGGAAATATCTGGGGAAGATGCATTTCTCCATTGGCCTACTTCCTTCAACTATGCACCAACATCTTCTTTCAACAACATCCAATAATGCCATCATATTACAAATTAATAAAGTCATCTATCAACTCTGACCATTCGGTCAGAGCCTTCCAGATAAACACACCAGCTAGCAGTTGAGTACCCAATACATGGTTGTGCCCTTTCCTATCCAAACAACAATATTCACGGATCCAGACAGCTGTGCGTATGTAACGGCACATAAGCTGTTTTCCAGTGTTATTTGTAGGGTTAGAGCTAGAAACAGTGTTAAATCACAAGTGGAATTTTGAATACAACTGCACTTTGTGGTTATGATAGATAATAGGGTTAATTAGAGCTATGGAAATAACTTGACAGAATTTGAGTGAGAAGGAAAGGTATCATAATGGGAATTTTAAGGAATTATATTTTGGAAAAGGAGCGTAGAAAATTTCAAACATATGTATATCTGCATTTGTGTATCTACATAATTATGCTTGTCTCTGTGTTATCAGAATATGGAAACAACTTAGACTCAATACAAAAGATCTTTTAAAATGAAAAATATGATAAGAATATACATAAAATTAAGAATATAACAGTGATTTTCTACATGGCTAATGATGAAATTGATGGTAAGTGGGATTGCTAACTAGAATAAAAATACCTAGAAAGCATCTGTATACATGAGAAGACTAGCATTTTGAAAGTAAGAATTGACTACTATTAAAAGACTTTACCTGATATGATAATATTTTGCTTTTGATAAAATTGCTATAGTTTTATGCCATTCAATTATTCACTTTATTTAATACTTTATGTATAGAATTTTGTAACTGTAGACATTCATGCTCATTGTGATTTCATTTTTATTATTATTAATCTCTCGTATATTACGTCCCAACCATGATTTCCCTCCCTCCCCTCCCTCCAACCTTCCCACTTTCCTTCTCCCCAGATGTAAAAAAACAGGCCTCCCAGGGATTTCATCCAAACACAGACTAATACATTACTAAATAAGACCAGACACATACCATGACATTAAGGCTAAATAAGACAACCCAGTAGGAGAAAAAGGGTCCCATAAGTAGACAAAAGAATTAGTGATCACCCCTACTCCTACTGTTAGGAAACTCACAAGAACACCAACTACTCAGCCATAATGTATACACAGAGGACCTTGGTCAGACTCCTACATGCTCCCTGATCTCTGCGAGTCCACATGAGTCCCAGTCAGTTGATTCTGTGGATCTTATTTTCATAGTGTACCTGACCCCGCTGGTTCCTCTGATTCTTCTTCCTCTGCATCTGTTCCCATCAGATGTTGATGGGAAGCTCTTTGATGAGGATTCTGCTAGACTCTGGTCTCAGAAAACTCTGCAGAAAGGACGTACTGTAGGTTGAAAGTTTTGTTGCTTGGTTGCGTTACAATCCCTTCCACCTGAGATCTTGCCTGGTTATAGAAAATGGTGGGCTCAGGCCCCGTGTCCTCCAATACTAGGCATCTCTGCTAGGGTCACTCTCATAGATTCCATGGAGTTCCACTGCACAGGTTTCCACCTGATCTCTGAAACGCCTCTCTCCCCCAGTTTCAGTCATTTCTCCCGGGATTTTCGCTCCCCCAGTTGATCCCTCCTGCTTGCAATGCCACATGCCCCTGAGTCTGCCAGAGAAATCTATTTCTCCTTCCCAAAAAGATTCTTTTGTCCCCACCACCAGCTACACAAGTCCTTCATCTTACAACCTCTTGCTGTCTATGGACCTTAGCATGATTATCATTGCAGTTAATATCTATTTCTAATTTTTAAAAATTCTTCATAATATCTCATAATCTACCAACTTTTCTGAATGCTGAATCATTTATATTTTATAATCAGAATTATAGTGGCTTTCTTGGCATCACTGTTTTATCCACAAAACATTCTTCCTTGCATTTTCAGAAAGTCATTTCATTGGTTTAAATTCTTTGGAATTGGTCCAAAGTTAGTGAATAATTTTATAACTCTTGGAACATATCAGTAGTTTATTCCCTAAAAGAAAACAATATATTAATGTAAGAAACATGTACACTTAATTTTTAATTTCTGTTGCCTTCTACCTTTAAAAGGTTCAGTTGATAAGGAAGGAAAGGTTTATTGCTCTGACAATGCTGATTTAGCCAATTTTGAGATAGTGTTGCTGTTTCGTTTCTGTTAGTATCATTTGACTAAATTTCCCTTGTTTTTTGGCATTGTTCATTATAAACTGATATTTAAAGATCATTTTAGTTATTTAATATTTTAAAAACATGTAGTAGTTTTTGAGGAGTGAGATCATGTGCATTTGTGCAAATGGAGTTCTGCCTAAACACCCACAGTTACAGACAAAGAGACACTTCTAGACTGCATGGGATAAAGGAGAATCTCAGAAGAAACGACATGTGAGCTCCACATCTCTCAGGTGCTGCCTTAGCTTATGTTTCAGTTATATTTCTTCTTGTACTTACACATTTAAACTTATGGTTTCTGGAGTTCTTAGGAATGTTTCATCACTTTCAATGAAAACTCTCTAATTTACAATATTTTGGTTTCTTACATTTCTCTTTATTGAATGCATGTGTTATAGGGGCTAGCATCACCATATAGTTGAGTAGGTAGCACACATTAAATAGTGAATTTTTAATATATAAATCAATTAATCCCAAGTGGAAGTAACTGGCCAAGTTACTTCCCATCAAGTTACTTCCCTCATTAGTTATGATTACAACTATTAGAAGAAATGGACATACTTGTTCCTTTATTGTCTATGAAAATTACAGGACTGTCAATCAAATATCTATGTACACAGAAAATTAGGTATTAGTCTTTAATGAGTTTTGTTGTGTAATAGTACATTCTTTGGGGGCAGTAAATTTTCTTTTCTTTTTTCTTTTACTTTATTCTTCTCTCATACAATACATACTCATCACAGCCTCCCCTTGTTCCCCTCTCAGTCCTCTCTCGAGTCTCCCTTCACCTCCAGATCCATTGCCCCTTTGTTTTCCTTCAGAAAAGAGCAGGCCTCTGTGATATCAACTGAACATGGCATAACAAGATGCAATAAGACTAGACATAAATCCTCATATTAAATATCAAGGTTGTATGAGGCAACCCAGTAGAAAGAAATGGATCTCACAAACAGAGAAAAAGAGTCAGAGAAATCCCCTTTCTAATTATTAGTAGTCCAAAAAAATATCCCCAGCTAAATCATCATAGCAAGTATGCAGAGGATTCGTCAGACCCATGCAGACTCCATGATTGCCGTGTTAGTCTCTGTGAGCTCTTAGGAGAGTTAGGAGCTAGCTGATTTTGTGGGCCATGTTTTCCTGGCATCCTTGCCTTCTCTGGCTCCTATCATCCTTTCTCCCCTTCTACCAGGGGGTTTCCTGAACTCCATCTAATCTTTGATTGTAGGACTCTGCATCTTTTCTCATCAGCAGCTAGAGGAAGCCTCTCTGATGAGGATTTGTCTATCCACTATCTACGATTATAGCAGAATATCATTAGGAATCATTTCACTGACTTTTGTTTTGTCAATCAGGTTTGATTCTACCCTAGGTCACTGAGCCATCCAGTTTCTGGATCCTGGCCATTCATGCATTGTAGAACACTCTAATGGGTAACGAACAAAAAGAAAAAGAACTTTTATTTTAAGAATCTGTAATATTTGACCTTGTGATTTTATGGAAAAATCATACAATGTATGTAATTTAACATTTCAAAGTAATATGTTCTATTAACTACTTTTGGTTCGCATATTTTAATGGCTTTCAAACTCATTTCTATTATGGCTACTTATTTAGCAAATAAGGCCCTTGATTATAAAAACCCAAACATTATAGGTGATTTCCGTTGCTCTTGGTCATGCTTCAGAACTTGAGGGTAAGATCCAATTGCTGAAGACACCATATATGAATCATAGACTATGGATAAGTCTGACTGGTATTCTTCTAGAAGCTTCATCCTTACTGGACAGCTTGCACAGTACTGGAAAGTTCTATGCATGCTACCAGAAGACAAAAAGTAATTATCAGTTTCAGCCATCTGTGAATGCTGAAAATTATAACAATGACCTACCTGGCAAGAAAGGCCCACTGGTGCAATAGTGGCATAAATGGTTAGGAATAACTATCCACTATGTAAGGTCTGCTACATGAGACTGAACCAATACTTGGGCACTTTCAATAAGATCAAGAACCTGTGCCTAGGTAGGTCATAGGCCACAGGAGAAGCCTATTAGTATTATTCTGCTAAGTAAGCATAGCAATAAAATGATTCCTAATGACTTATTATTCTAACCTTTGATGATTTAATTCTTGCCAGACAAGTGTCTTCTCATAGTTGATGACGATTGACTTAGAAACCCACACCTGGTCAAAATGCAGAGAACACGAGGCTTTAGAGCACTCAGTTCTAAGTGGGATGTCTATCCACATCCCTTCCTTCGAGACTCAGGAATCTTCATGAAAGTGTGTCTGCTAAGCATTTTAAAGATAACCTCAGTGCCATCAAGCCAAGTTGTTGTTATTTAAAGGAATGAAGTCACAGACTCCCTCTTGAACTATTTGACCAAGAGCAAGTCCACGTTTGAGTTCTCTGCTTGTGGCTTTCAACTGTCCGTAGTTTGTGGTTTCTAGTTTATCTGTAATCTGTGCCTGATTTTTGTGCTGGCTGTTCTTCTGTCCCTAACAAAAGACTCTGCTTTTTGTTGATTGAACAACACAGAAAGAATAAAGTGGAAAAAGAATGAGGAAAACCTTATAGAAATCTTTAAAGGACTTTTACAAGGAATTAAATGATGAGCTCCAACTGACTCTAGCTGACCTTGAAAACAAGATCACTACTGAAAACTCACTACTGAAAACAAGCTATTTGTATGTTAATTCCAACATTTATGACAAACATTTGTTGTATAAAAACTGCTTTTAACCTGTTGTCTGATTTCATTTAGCAAATAATTAAAACACACACATATGCACACACACATCCACACTACTCTGAGTCAGAAGTCTTGAAGAGTACATAATTTAAGATTAAATCTATGCCTTAGCTTAGGTTGTAAAGGTTGATTATATGTGAAATTCAAGGTAACTAAAGGTGAATGCAAAATCATTCTTTTAAAGGCAGGTTGAACTTAAACATATTGATTACACAGTTTGATAACAGGTTAAGTCTTATGAAATCTCAAGGTGTATTATTAACGTGGCTTTGAAATCCAGCAAAAGTTTAGTATATTTGAATATAAAAGATATTTTAAAAATTGTATCATTATAGAGGAGAGGAGAAAGATTATGAGAGCCAGAACTGGTGAGTGATCTCAAGGAAACAGCAAGCTTTAGACAAGACAGGGACGATGGTCATATGAACCCACAGCAATGGTGACAGTAGTAGAAGCTGGCACAGTGCCAGCATGGAGGAAGAGATTGGCACAAAGTACACTACTAGCTGAGGAATTATTGGTATCTGATAACTTCCAGGAAAGAAGGAGTCAGTTTCCTTCAGTGGTACAATCCCTTGTTTATTAACCACACTCTAGTGCAGGCTACATGTCCAAGAGCAGTTGACTAACACAAGTTGGATTCAAAGGTTTTTTTTAATTGTTTTTATTAAGTTATATATTTTTCTTTGTTCCCTCCTTCTTATTTCCTCTCCTTCTATCCTCCCCCACGGTCTCCATGCTCCCATACTCAGGAGATCTTGTCTTTTTCTACTTTCCATGTAGATTAGATCCATGTATACCTCTCTTAGGGCAGATTCCATGGTTTTAAGGAAAGAGTGAGAGAGCAGGAGAGAGTGACAGCAAAAACACAGTATCTAGAGATCAAGCAAGAGATACAAGAAAGGTAGCAAGAAGGGTGGTTGATCTAGGAGGAGTTGGCTAGACGTGTGGTTGATCTAGAAGGAGTTGGCTAGAGAGGTGGTAGATCTAGGAGGAGTTGGAGAGGGGTATTAATGTGATTGAAATATGCTGAATGAAATTATCAAAGAATTATTAAAACTATTATTTGTTATTTTTAAATAGAGAAAAATAATTAATAGAAAATTCATATGAAGAAAGATCTAGAATACATTGATTCTATTCTTAGAGAAGGGATGTAAGAAGTTCAAACACAGTATCTACAATAAAAAAAGTAGGAGCTAACACTTCTATGCTATATGCCAACTCTTAATACTTTACTTTTAAACTGATTTAATTTTTAAAAATAATTCTATACTTAAAACAGGAAACTTCTCTATTAATCTAGTTTAGTAAGTAAATTCACTCACAAAGAATTTAAGTTATTCCAACCACACATAATATAATGTCTTTACTTTTAGTCTAGTCAAGGAAATTAAGACGCAATGTCATTCCTCTGGAAAACATCAGCACCAATAACAAAGCCAGGTCAGTGAGGTGGCTGAGTGGGGAAAGGCATGCGTTGCCAAAGCTGACTGAACAGAGGATCCCTCATGGTAGGAGAGAACAGATTCCTGCACACTGCCCCTGCCCATCACATGTGTGCGTATAATAAACACATAAATAAATAAATACAGGTAAAAAACAGGGTAAGCGGTCAGCAACAGCGAAGAAAATGAAACTTAACGTTAATTAATCATTTACCATTATTCAGGTGGTGTCAATTTTTATATTAATTTTCTTCACGAAAGATTCGATGAAGTAATTTTCATTTTTCTATCATCATCTTACAAAGAATGTATATTTCAACTAAAATGGAAGTTGTAAAGATGTAATTTCCAAATAAAATTCAGTGTTTTTTTGGGTTAACATTAAAAGATGGCAAAACAAGAAACCTTGGAGTCTCCCTTTCATTGTAAAGAATTTTTTGAACTATAACAAATGGAAACGTTTATTTTATGAAAAGTTTGTATAATCTTTTTCAGGCTTCTATCCTCATTCTATAATGATTATTCTTGTCACAGGGTCACAACAGTAGAAAGAAACTAAAACAACTGTTTCATTTTTCTGTATTACACACGTGTTAGGAGCTAGCAAAGCTAATGGCTTCTATTTTATCTTTCTTGAACTCCTGATAGAATCTGACATGATTTAGATGCCTAGAAGTCAGCAAAATCATATAGTGATTTGAACTAGCATACTAGCACTCACTATAACTTTTTCACATGGCTCCAGAGAAAGGGAATAAGTAAAAGTGCCAATATTCCAACCCTTCTCTGGGAAAGGAAAAAAAGATAGTATGTCTAATGCTTCAAAAATTTCTGGGTGGTTGACAGAGAAAACTGTTTCTTTCTTGTCTCTTGAAGTGCTGACATTTTGGTACACTGCAAGACTGGGGATTAATTATTGAGAAAACTGCTGGTAGTTGATTGACAGAGAATTTTGAGAGGTTCCTAGAACTTCTAGCCAAGTGGATTTAAAAGTCATTTTCCTCTCCAAAGTCAATACCAGGACAGGAGTGATTCTTTTAAGAAATGTTGCTTCAGAAACTGACCTTATTGCAATGGGAATAGATGACTCACCTGATAGAGAATTTAAAATAGTCATTAAAAGATGTTGAATATACTTGGGAGAACAATACATAAATAAAAATAAAACAAAAATAAAATTGGGGAGGTTAATAAATATGGAAAAATTCGGGAAATGACTCAATAGGCAAATAGTTTTTTTGAAAGTCTGAGGACTTATGGCCCATCTGTAATCACAGCATGCAAAAGGTGGATGGAGACAGAAGACTCTAGAGAGAGATGGTGGCCATACTACTTATAACAGTGAGTTTTTTGTTCAGTGAGAGACCCTACCTCAGTATATAAGACAGAAAGTGATCTAAGAAGTCACCTGCCTCTACATGCATATACATGGGTCTTATACACATGTGAACATACAAACATATATGCAAACCACAAATACATATGTATGTGAGATAAAAATAAATGTTAAAAAGGAGATCAGATGAAACTCTTGGGTCTGGCAGATATAATAAATGAACAGAAAAATTCTCTAGAGGATTTAGTGGTGATTAGTTCGGGCAAAAGAATCAGAAAAAACTTGGGACAGTGGTGGTAATGCCTTTAATCCCAGTACTTGGGAGGCAGAAGGAGGAGGATCTCAGGGAATTCAAGGCCAGCCTGGTCTACCAAGTGAGTTGCAGGATGGCCAAGGCTACACAGAGAAACCCTGTCTTAAAAAACCAAAGAAAACAAGTTGGAAAAGTCAAAAACAACAAAACAAAATGTTATCACTATAAAGTATTTTGCATAAACCCTAAGGTTAATATTAAAAAGCTCGAGGAGATACACAGAAGAAAAAGAGAAAGAAATCAAAGTGTATCAATGAAAACATCAAGAAAATACAAAGGACCACAACATGAAAAGAAAGAGATTTACCAGACACACAGAAAATTAATTAGGGAGAAAGACTATGTCTTTTTCTGTTAGCAACTGTTTTACATGTATGTGAACTAAACTCTTCAGTCAAAGAATGATTTAAAGTGTAAAACCGACATAAGTGAAAACAAACCCAAGTTCAGGCTGCCTACAGATTCACTTTAACTATAGAGAGACATGTAATCCTTCAAAGAAGACATAAAAAATGAAATTCCATGCAAATGGAGACTCAAAGATAGAAAGAACTAAGTGACTATACTTGTAATAGAAAAAAATAAGTAAAAATATTTATCAAAAGAAGGATATTATATACCAAAGCAAAGCCCAATTCTATAGGAAGATAAACAATTAACATGGACATGATCTCAAGGTCAAAGTTCTATGAGCTAAACAGCAAACACTGACCAAATGGAACAGAGAAATAATAGTACACATTAATGGAGAACTTCTTTATCCCACTTTAAATGATGATGAGAAGATTTAGAGAGGATGACAGTTTCTCAGATAGTTGGGAATCACTTTACTTTTCAAGACCTGGCTAGGGAGCCTTGACCCTGACTGTACCTGCGAAGATGATATCTGCATTCTTGGCTAGAGGGCCCTGCTCTCTATACCCTAGACACCAGAGGCATATTCTGTGCCCTATCCCCACCCGGTGAAGCCCCAGAGACCTGAGAACAACCTCTCCACACCCACAACCATTCCCCACTGCATCTGCAACCACTCCACCTGAGGAGCCTTGGTCCTGACTGCCCCTGAAGAGGTGAGTGTCTGGGTTCCTGACTGGAGGGTCCTGCTCTCTAGATCCTAGCCTCTGAAAGCTCAGCTCATGCCCCAACCCCACTTACTAAAAGCCTAGAGACCCTGGAGCTACCTTGCCACACCTGCAACCGTTTCCCATTGCATCTGTGACCACTGGAGTTTTGGTCCTGACAGCACCTGGAGAGGAGCCACCAGAATCACATCAGTAACAACCAGAGGTATGATGATCTTTTCTGCACCTGAAGGAAGAGCAATCACTTAAGCCACAGCAGCCCCCACCCGGAACTAATGGAGGAAGAGATGGACAGATAACAATGTAAGGACACATTCAACAACATGAAAAGCAATATGGCACCACCAGAAACTGGTGATTCTACAGCAGCAAGACCTGAATATCATGGCACTTATGAAACCGAAGAAAATGACCTTAAAAATAACTTTATGAAGATGATAGAGGCTCTTATAAAGGAAAAGAAAACTTCCCTTAAAGAAATGGAGGAAAAGATGAACAAAACATTAGAAGAAATCAACAAATCCCTTAAGGAAACAAAGAAAGCCAAGAAAAAAAAAACAATCAAAGAGGTGAAGAAAATGGTTCGAGACTTGAAAACAAAAATAGAAGAAATAAAGAAAACATAAACTAAGGGAATTCTGGAAATGAAAGACCTGGGTAAATGATCAAGAACTACATAGAGATGCAAGTATAACCAAATGACTACAAGAGATGGAAGAGTGAATCTCAGGCTTTGAAGATACAATGGAAAAAATAGATTCATTGGTCAAAGAAAATGCTAAATCTAACAACTTCTGAACACAAAATATCCAGGAAATATGGGACACCATAGTAAGACTGAACCTAAGAATAACAAGAATTGGAGAAGAAGGACATGAAGTCAAGCCCGAGGACACAAAAAATATATTCAACAAAATCATAGAAGAAAACTTTCATAAACTAAAGAAGGATATGTCTATAAAAGCACATGAAGCTTATAGAACACCAAATAAACTGAACCAAAAACGTCCCCTTGCCACGTAATAATAATAATTATCATGATAATAACTAAATATACAGAATACAGAAAGAATATTAAGAGCTGCAAAGGAAAAGGGCCAAGTAACATATAAAGGCAGACCTACAAGAATTTCACCTGACTTCTCAATGGAAACGGAAACCAGAAGGTCCTGAATAGATGTTCTACAGACACTAAGAGACCATGGATGCCAGTCCAGACTAATATACCCAGCAAAGTTTTCATCACCAAAGACAGAGAAAGCAAGATATTCCATAACAAAACCAGATTTAAAAAATACCTATCCAGGCGGCTTAGCCGGGGTCTGCTCGGCCCAGGTCGGCTCCGCGACCTTTGGGGTTGGCGCGGGGCTGCAGAGGAGGGCCAGGGCGCGAAGTCTTACTTCCGACCCCGACTCCTGGCAGGCCAGCCTCGCCAAGAAGGCCCGGGTCGGGCAGGACGAGCCGGCCAAGCCGCCCTCGTCGCCACTCAGCGAGAAGCAGCTTGTCCGCATCCAGAGGAACAAGGCCGCGGCCCTGCTCAGGCTCGCCACTCGCAACGTGCCTGCCGGCTTCGGCGAGAGCTGGAAACAGCACCTGAGCAGAGAGTTCGGGAAGCCGTACTTCGTCAAGCTAATGGGCTTTGTTGATGAAGAGAGAAAACATCACAAGGTCTATCCACCTCCGGAGCAGGTGTTCACGTGGACCCAGAAGTGTGACATCCGAGATGTGAAGGTTGTCATTCTGGGACAGGATCCTTATCACGGCCCTAATCAAGCTCACGGGCTCTGCTTCAGTGTGCAAAGACCAGTTCCACCTCCACCCAGTTTGGAAAACATATTTAAAGAGCTATCTACAGACATCGATGGTTTTGTTCATCCTGGCCATGGGGATTTGTCGGGGTGGGCCAGACAAGGTGTCCTCCTCCTCAATGCTGTCCTCACTGTCCGCGTCCACCTGGCCAATTCCCATAAGGAGAGAGGCTGGGAGCAGTTCACTGATGCGGTTGTGTCCTGGCTAAACCAGAACCTGACTGGCCTGGTCTTCCTGCTGTGGGGCTCTTATGCTCAGAAGAAGGGCAGTGCCATCGATAGGAAGCGTCACCATGTCCTACAAACAGCCCATCCCTCCCCACTGTCGGTGTACAGGGGATTCTTTGGATGTTGACATTTTTCTAAAGCCAATGAACTGCTCCAGAAGTCTGGCAAGAGGCCCATCAACTGGAAGGAGCTGTGATCTGCAGTGCGGGCCACCGGTCTCCAATAGTGGCTCTGAGATACTACTGCCACTGAAGCATTGAACAGTTTAGAAGTCACTGGGAATGTCCCTGTTAAGTCTCTGTGTGTGAAGACAATGGAAAGATCTCTGTAAAGCAGTCACGTGCCAATCAGGCTGCAGAAACCACAACTTCAGCAACCAGACCTCGACTGGCACTAGGTGGAACTCTGGGCTAGTCAGGGTGGCCTAGCCACGCACGCGGCTCCTCATGGTCCAGTCACATACTTGGCCCTCTGGGCTGTATTGGGTTGGGGGAGAGATTTGTACCTTTTGATCAGCTAAAAGTTTGGCACCTACTGTTGTTTACTTTTGCCTTTAGACTAGAGAGATTACAAAGTATTCGGGCCCTTATGTCTTAAAAGGGTGTTTTGCGATCTTGAGAAATCAGGATAGAAAGTGAGACTGTTCGTGATTACAAAGGGAGTGAGTGTGTGTTTTCCGGGGCTCAGGAGAAGTGGCTGCTGCCCATCCTGCTGCTTGTCTAGATTTTTACCTTAAGCAGCTAGTGAGTTGAGCAAAGCAGAGGACAGGTTTATTTTTGTTTTAAATGGGGGGGGGTGGTTCTTCTGCCTCTGGAGTTGGGGTTTCCCACAGCAGATGGCTAGATGTTGGTTTGTGTGTAGAGCTGGGGATCCAACCCCAGGGTCCTGGTTTTTATGGACTGAATTCAGGCAGGTTATGTTTTTCTGCAACACTGGAGGATATTGTCTTTTATGAGCTGGGCAAGTACATCTTTTTTTTTTTTTTTTTTAAGAGACAATCTAAGTTTATACCTCACCCTGGATTCAGTAGATCCAGCTGGTTAGAGAAGTGACCCCGCCTGGGCAGGGTAATAAAGACTTGAGTTTGGATTAAAAAAAAAATACCTATCCACAAATCCAGCCCTACAGAAGGACTAGAAGGAAAACTCCAACCCAAACTCATGGAACTGAACAATGTTCAACTGAATCATCACTGGGTCAAGAAAGAAAGAAAGAAAGAAAGAAAGAAATAAAGAAAGAAAGAAAGAAAGAAATTAAAGACTTCCTATAATTTAATGAAAATGAATGCACAATATACCCAAACTTATGGGACACTTTGAAAGCAATGCTCTGAGGAAAGTTTATCACATTAAGTGCCTAAGAACCTCGAGAAATATCAAACTAGCGACTTAATAGCACACCTGAAAACTCTAGAACAAAAAGATACAAACTCATCCAGGACGAGTAGACACCAGGAAATAATCAAAGTGAGAGCTAAAATCAATAAAATAACAACAAAAAAGCCAATACATGGAATCAATAAGACAATGAGTTAGTTCTTTGAAAAAAAATCAACAAAATTTTATCCAAGGTAACTAAAAGGCAGAGAATATCCAAATTCACAACATCAGGAATTGTGGCAGGAAGGAGACGCTTGTCCGTCCCAGTTGCCCGACTAGCTTAGCCCTCATAGAACCACACAGAAATTGTATTAATCAAATCACTGCTTGGCCCATTAGCGCTAGTCTCTTACTGGCTAACTCACATCTTGATTCAACCTATTTCTCTTAATCTGTATATCACCACGTGGTGGTGGCTGACTGGGTAAAATTCCTACCATCTATCTCCGGTGGATCCATGGCATCTCTCTGATTCTGCTTTCTTCCTCCCAGAATTCAGTTCCTTTTTTCCCCGCCTACCTTCTGCCCTATCAACAGGCCAGAGAAGTTTCCTTTTTCATTAACCAATGAAAGCTGCACATGGACAGAAGGACCTACCATACAATTTCCCCTTTTTTGTTTAAATAAAAAGGAAGGCTTTAACATAGTAAAATTACATATAACAAAACAATTATTAAGCAAGAATTGCAGTTACAATATTTATATCCTATTTACCTTTTATCATAACTAAGGAAAACTATAACTATAACTATAAATTCTTCAACTCCATCAAAGACTCCAGTAAACAGGAAGTGCATTATAAACAACTTCCAAAACTCTATGACAGAGACATCTTGTTGCCTAGACAGTCACCCAAAGTTCTTTTGTGTCATTGGGGCATCCATCTTCAGCCTATAGACCCATAGTATCCAGCAGACTTTTCCATGAAAGAGGAAACTTCAAAGACAGTTCAGCCTATATTGGCAGTTTTCAGTCACTTTCTTTTGCGTCCAGAAGAATATCTAACATTCTTCAATTGTCTGAGGTACTTTAGGTGAAGACAAAAAGTGAGCATGACCCTTTTTTCCCGCTGGATTCAGTTCCCAGCTTGCAGCGTACATAGAGTACCATGGATTTCTACGCTTATTGTGAGTTTTGTCCCAAAATAAATAAACTTTTTTTATACTCTAAAAAAAAAAGAGGAAGAATATCTAACAGACTCTTTCATGAAGCAGGAACCCTGAAGGATCATCTCACCTTCAGGCAAGTTTAACAGTCATTCTCTGTGGGTCCTGCATGTCCAGTTTATGCAACAGTCCAGACAAGAGTAGTTTCTTGGCCAAATGACTAACCAACTCCATAAGGAGCCTCTTCAATGTCCATCTTCTCTTGAAGCAGATTGATGTTGCCAGGAACAGATGTGTCTCATTGTCATGAAAAGTCTTAAGTTTTTAAACATTTTAAATGCAATATTCTGAAAGTCTCTGAAAGATTTGAAGCATACCTATCTAACTGAAATATATCTATATATATCTAAAAAATCTAACTTACATGACTACAAGATTGACTATTATAGATGACTCTCTGTTTACCTATATTTCTTAATTATACATTACATTTTTAAATGAACTACACAATCATAACACCTTAGTCAAGAGCAGAAATATATATATATACACACACACATATATACATATAACAAAATTGACTTTAAATTTGTATCAATAAACCAAGATCCATACCAATTCAAATTATTCATATCTATATAATATCCCTCTTTAAATGTAAATAAACATTTATAGTCAGTATTTGGGAATATAGGCATAGATTTGTCCATACTGCTTCCTGCTGTTTGGGGGTGCTGTTAATCGGGTCTTTTATGGTATATCCTGTGTGCTAGGTTCATCTCAAACAGCAGTTGGGAAAAGTATTTTCTTTGTGGGGGTGTTCACAGCAACCTTTCAGCAGGTCTTGTTCCATGAAACCATATTGGTCTAGAAGCAATCCACAGGTTCTCATTCTCTGTGGAGACAGAAGAAGAACATCTTTTTCCAAGCAACATGTTCTTAGACTCAAATTCTGAAGTCAAGATACCTTTATAATATACATGCTGGTTTAGCTTAACAGTCCACACAATGAAATATCTCTCTGTACTTAGCTCCTCCACAGTCAAAAATTCAAAGATATTTATTATTTGAATATATTATTATGTTATAATATACACAATCTAGACTCTCTGTGAATTTTCCACCTTTATGTGACTTATTTTTCTTTATTCTTTTTAATCTATGTCTGTCTGTATTCTGTATCTTTAAAGACTTTTTTTAAAGCATTAACTTTATTTTATGACTCTCCATACTTTTTCAAACCTATATACATTTATCTAACACTATGACCCATTTAGAGTTCTTTTACAACTGAATTTGTCTTTATTGTATTTCTGTAATTATTTTTTTTGATCAAAAGCATTTCTTAAAATGCTAAGCAGCTTGGTCTCTGTGGCCCTGGGTGCTGGCTCCACCTCTCTCCTCTTTCAGGTTTTAAATATGGTGGAGGTAGTTCACCTCAGCTCTAGGACTGCCGAGTGGCAGTCATCCTCATCACCTAAACTCTGGATATCACTTTGCAGCATATAAACCTTTTTGTTTTGTTTTGTTTTGAGTAAAAGCTAGCACACTGTTGGCTTTGTATGGCAGCTGGGATCTGCCATGCTGTTCTGTTTGTGCATGCCTAGTACATCTGATTCTGCTGCCTGCCCAGGCGGGGAGTGCCTAGCTGTGGGCGTGGTCTCAGTGACTTTCCTCCTGACCTTGAGTGGGCACACAAACACCCAGGGCCCACAAATGCCATTGAAATGCTTCACAGAAGAGTTTGTACTGGTGAAATGGCCCAGAAAGCTGCATTTTGAAACACACAGCTTTTTTTCCTGCTATGGTTGAATTAGGAAATCCTCTTTTAAAGGAGCTGCGGCATGCCACAGCAAACAGCAAGAAGCTGTGTTAAACTCTGTATTTTTGTGTCTGGAATTCCTTTTCAAACTTTCACAGGTTTTATGTGGATATAGTCAACCACATTGGAGCACCAATTGTAGAAGGAAGGAGACACTTGTTCATCCTGGCTGCCTGCTAGCTTAGCCCCGATACAACCACACAGAAATTGTATTAATTAAATCACTGCTTGGCCCATTAGCTCTAGCCTCTTATTGACTAACACTCACATCTTAATTTAACCCATTTCTATTAATCTGTATATTGCCACATGGTGGTGGCTTACTGGGTAAAATTCCCCGTGTCTTTCTCTGGTGGATCCATGGCATCTCTCTGACTCTGCTTTCTTCCTCCCAGAGTTCAGTTCCTTCTTTCCCGCTTACCCAAGCACTGCCCTATCAATAGGCCAAGGAAGATTTTTTTATTCATTAACTAATGAAAGCTGCACATGGACAGAAGGACCTCCCACACCAAGAAATGAAAAAGGGGACATAACAACAGACACTGAGGAAACACAGGGAATCATCAGGTCATACTTCAAATTTCTGTACTTAACAAAATTGGAAAATTTAAAGGAAATGGATAGTTTTCTGGATAGGTACTATATACTAAAATTGAATCAAGAACAGATAAAAAGTTCAATAAACCTGTAATCCCCAAGGAGATATAAATAGTCATCAAAAGTCTTCAACCAAAAAAAAGTCCAGGACCAGATGGTTTCAGTGTAGAATTTTACCAGAACTTCAAAGAAGAGCTAATACCAACACTCCTCAAATTGTTCCACACAATAGAAACAGAAGGGACATTACCAAACTCTTCTCATAAGGATATAATTACTCTGAAACCTAAACCACAGAATGATACAACTAAGAAAGAAAATCACAGACCAATCTTCCCAAAATCATTAATACAAAAATACT